GTGAAAAAAGCAGATTACCAAACAATCTGATTATAACAAAAATTATATACATGCACATATATTCATATTTTAATGCATATACATGTCCATAGGAAAATCTGGGCAGATTAATAGTGAGGTGACAGATTATTTTTTTCTTTTTGCTTATTTTCTATTTTTTCACAATTTTTATTTAAGTATTAAATAATTGTGAAGTTGATTTTTCTTTATTTTTCTATTCAAACCTACCAAATGTTAGTTTTACCACTGCTAACCAATGATCAATGCAAGCTCCTAAAAACTGTACCATATGGGGACACGGAAATGGGAACAAATTTTATTGCACCTTGTATTCCTTTTTTTTCCACCTTTTTATTTTTTTATTTTTGTTTTTTTTAAGACTTATTAATTTGTTTGAAAGAGAGAAGGGGGGAGGGGCAAAGGTAGAGCCTCTCAAGCAGACTCCCCACTGAGCACAGAGCCCCACGCAGAGCTCAGTCCCACAACCCATGACGTCATGACCTGAGCTGAAATCATGAGTCAGATGCTTAACTGACTGAGCCACCCAGGTGCCCCTTTTTACCTTGTTATTTTGAAATAATCTTAGACTTACAGAAAAGTTGTAAAAATAGAAGAGTTCCTGCATACTCATCATCCAGCTTCCCCTAATGTTGACATCTTACATGATCACTATAAAATGATCACAACTGGGAAATTAAAAATTGATACAGAACTGTTAACAAAACTGTAGACCATATTCAAATTTCACCAGTTTTTCCACTGTTGCCCTTTATCTCTTGGTTTCCTCCAATTTGTGAGGGTTGCTTAGTCTTCCCTCGTTGTCTGTGAACTTGACATTTTTGAAGAGTTATTTTGTTATTTTGTAGCATATCCCTCATTTGCTGTTTGTCTGATATTTTCCCCTAATTAGAGGAGGTTACTCATTTTGGCAAGAACACCCTAGAAATGACATTGCCCTTCTCAGTGCATCACCTCTGGGCGTTCATGAGGCTGATATGCCTTATTACTGGGGAAGCTGACTTTGTCCACTTGGTTACAGTTTGTATACTGGATATTTCCATTTATGAAGTTACTATTTTTCTCTTAAAATTCCTTATCTTTTGTAGGACTTTGAGACTATGCAAATATCCTGATTCCTGATCAAGCCTTTGTCTCCTAATTTTGGCATCCACTTTGTGGCTCTTGTCTGTAACACTTATCACTGGGTTGTTTGTCCAATGGTGATTTTTCTATTTCATTCTTTCTATATTTATTAGTTGGAATCCTTAAGAAAAAGGCATTCCTTCTTCCTTATTTATGTGTTCATATCAGTATGAACTTATGCCATTATAGCCAACACTATCATTATTTATTTTTAAATAAAATATATAAAAAGTATAAATATATCAAATTGTTCCAGACTTTGCCATGAGGAACTTCTTAGGGTGGACTCATTGGTCCTCCAAACATGCCCCCATCTGTTTTGGAGCAATTGCCACTTATGACACCACAAGATGTTTCAGGTTCTTCTCGTATTTCTCTACTCCAACCCTGGAACGAACCACATCTCCAAGGAGCCCTGGTCTCTTTCATTGGAAAATAGTGTTTAGAAACCAAAATCTAGACCCAAGGTATGCAATTACTACTGAAAAATCATTGTATCTAGGACCTCTGAGCAGAAGGGGCTAGTAAATATATGTACGTATATCAACCCACACATACACACTAACAGCTGTAATTCTATATCCATCTGTTTTCAGAGAGAGAGAGAAAGAGATTCCAATCCAATACCATAGGTTCATTTTCACCTTCCTTATGACTTCTTTCTAGCAGTGAAGAACCTAGTCTTCGTTATCTATGATGTATTTACTTATTTTTTCAATCCTAATATACATATAAAGTAGTTATAACCCATAACCCTGTGACAAATTTAATAATTGAATTTGTATACAGTTGTCTGTGTGTATGTGTTTTGTCTTTGGATTTATAGCATTTAATCATAATATTGTTTCCCGAAGTTATTTTGGTTAGTTTTTTTTCTTCCCTACCCCCTTCAGTGTTGTTCTGTCACCAATTCATAATCCATTTTTAGGTTCACTTGGTTTTGTTAATATTTAATTTTGGGCTTTCCACACATCTTGTTTTCTTATTCTTGATTTTCTTGGCTATGTGAAATGAAACTGCAGTTCTGAGAGTTAGAGCTATACAACAAGGTATGCTCAGAAAAGTGTTAATCCCTCCTTATCAGACTGCTCCATTCCCATTCTCCCTCACCCTTTCCCACCCACCCTCTGCTGGGAAACCAGTCTCTTCAGTTTCTTTTCTGTATTTCTTGTGCACAAATAAGCAAATACATGTGCATTTTCTTACATGGTGGTGGCATACTATAGATTCTATTTTGCGTTTTGTTCTTTTCACTTAACAATATATTCTGGAAATTTCCTCATACCAGTTCACAGAAATCCCCCTCGTTTTCTCTCTTGTGCTGCTATACAATAGTTTATTCAATGATTCTCCTATGTATGTGTATTTAGGGTTTTTTTTTTTTCATTATTTTGCAACTGCAAGCAATGCTATAAGGAATAATCTTACGCACACATCTATTTACCTATTGTTTTAGATGCATCTGCCTAGAAAGTTAAACCCTTGGGTCAAAAGATAAAAGTGCATATGTAGCTTTGATAGGTATTGCCAAATCCCGTGTAGAACTTTTTTTTTCAGTTTACATTCCTACTCGTAATGTGTGACAACAGGCTGTGTTATTATGTTTTTTAATCTCTGCTAATTTGATAGGTGAGAAATATATTTATTTTTTCATTAAAATTTAAGATTACACTCTAAAGATACTGATGTTTTTCCATATGTTTAAGAACCTTTTCATATACATTTCATGAATTCTCTGGATCTTTTCCCATTTTTCTACTGTTTTTTATCCTTTGTCTCTCAAGTTTTTAAAAGTGCTTTATATATTAGGGACATTTGCCCTTTGTCTATGATATATGTTATAAATATTGTCTCCAGGTTTATCAGGGTTTTTTTTGATACTATTTATAAGAGGTTTCTACCATGTAAAATATTTCCATTGTTATGTAAGAGATGTTAATCTCTTATTACCTCCGGATTTTAAGACATAGTTTAAAAGCCTTTCCCTGCCCCAAGGTTAAGGAGGAATTCACCCATATTTTCTTCCAGTGCTTGTATGGTTTCCTTCTTACACTTAGGTCCTTAATCAAGTTAATGTTTATTCCTATGTATGGCCACACACCCGCTTCTCTCTACCATCTCTTTGCAAGAACATTTTCACTCAGGTGAAGTCAACTAGGAATAAATCAGGTTGGAGGAAAGAGGTAGCATTCAGTTATCCACGGAGAAAGAGGAAAGCTTTAACTAGAAATGGCGGGAGGCACAGCCAGTTCTTGTCATGGTTTCCGGTATGGCTTGGTCTCCACCTGCCGCTGTAGCTTCATCTCTCCACAACCAGGGCTAAATGTTCTCTCCCCTAGCCAGGGTCTTGTATCTCACTGCAAATGTACATTAAGACAGGATTTATGATCTGCTTTAGCAAAAAAAAGAACAGAAACGAAACAAAACAAAAGAACAGGAGTGTGGCAACTTCCTACAAAGGGGAGATTCAAGTTTGTGTTCTTTGAAGCTGGAATCTTAACTTCGTGGTGAAGCCTTCTAAAAGTTACATCATAGGCATTTCTGACTTTGCTCTCATGGTAGCCATTGCTACTTGCATTTATTCATCAACTTAATACTTTTTGAGTACCTACTCTGTGCCCAAGACTGCTTCCATTTCTGGGTAAATGGTGAAGAAAATAGTCTTGTTTTTCAGGGAGTTTACCTCCTACTTTAGAAAATATGTCCACAGTCTATAGATCCCTGTGATCCCATAATAGCCTTAGTCTTTACCCAAAAACAGTTCCTCCAAACTTGGAAAGTACCCAAGGATGCTCCCTGTGATTTATTGTGTGAATGCAGCTGGCTCTCTCCATTGGAATGAGGGGCGGTCTTTAGAAGCAAAGCAAGCTTCTTTGGATTAGGAGAAATTGGAGCATTTTTGATGAAAACCTAAAATGACAAGTTGCAGGTTATACACAATAATACACTTTTTCTGCAAAGTGTTTCATGCTATGCAGCTAGATAAAGGACTGCCCTTTGAGAAACAGAGAATAGCTCTAATCTCTAAATGGCTACGTACAGTTGGGTCTTTATCACCCCTGATGAGAAGACACCATCTGCTCAAACTCACATTTGAGGATTCCCTCACTCACAGGCAACTTATAAGTGCAATGAATTTTTTAATTGGAAAATACTGCTATTCCATTTTGTCTATTTCCCGCTCATTTATTTAATGCAAAAGCAGCATCTATATCTTAGTGATGTTTCATTCCTGTTGTTTATTCCACAAATGAAGTCTTAATCCTCTTTGTGACATCTTAACCCATAAGTGGTTGCTATGGAAATGATTAGAATGTCACACACACAAAGGATAATTACCTTTGGTTAGGTACCATTCAGACCATATAAACTCTTAAAAGGCACTATTTAAGGCAAATGTTCCAGTGAGAAACTAGGGAAAAAATAGATTTCTAGAAGCATAAATATATAGATATACAGTAGTCCCCCCTTATCCCTGGGGGATACATTCCAAGACCCCCAATGAATGCCTGAAGTGACAAATAATACCAAACCCTATATATACTATACATACCTATGATAGAGTTTAATTTATAAACTAGATGCAGTAAGAGATTAAAACAATAAGTAATAACAAGATAGAACAATTAAAACAATATACGAATACAAGTTATGTGGAATCTCTCTCACTTGAAGTATATAATTGTACTGCACTCACCCTTTTTGTGAAGATGCATCATGATAAAATGCCTACATGATGAGATGAAGTGAGATGAATGATGCAAGCATTGTGATGTAGCATTAGGCTACTATTGACCCTCTGACCATACATCAGAAGGAGGGTCATCCACTTCAAGAATGCCATTGACCAGGGATAACTGAAACCCTGGAAATCAAAACAGGGGATAAGGGGTTCTACTGGAAGTGAAATGACTCCAGTTCAGCATCGTTGGTCATCTTTGATAGTTAAAGATGTGAAATACAGAGGTAAAATTTTTCTTAGTATCCCTTTTCCTTCTTCACACTCATTGGGTTCCACACAGTTTTTTTTTTTTTAATCTATTTGTTCGTAAGTGGACTTTTCCCAAGTAATTTGGTGAGACTGTTTTACAAATATCTGATGCAGTGAAAATGATCCAAAACTGCTCAAAGAAGCTCTAAAATCTCAAGTCCACATAAGGAAGTGCAAATGTTATTAGCTCACTCTACCACCTGTATCATGAGAATAGCATTAGAAGTCACAATCTCTTCTAAACACATATTTTCTCTCCCATTGAGCTTTAAAAAGATCAGTGTTATTTTGCATCCTAAATCATTCAAATGCATATAATTTCAGTGCCTGGAGATGTTAGGTGTAATTATTCACATTTGCAAAAACAAGGAGAAATCTTTTGGTCATAAATTAGCAGTAATAGGACATGCAGTTTAGTATTTATTTATATTAGCGCATTTCTAAAGTGTTTAACTAGTACTTTTACAAAGCAATTCCCTATAATATCTACTTGTTCCCAATTAAGGAAAAGTTGACACAAGTGATTATATTGATCCTATGCCATACCAGACTTCTCTAGCAAGTGAACACCACTGTGGGTGGCCCACATACCTTGTCGTGTCCAACCAAGAATGTCCCACCCTCCATGTCAATTACCAAAAGCCTCTGCAATGAAAAGACGTTGCATTTTTTTACTTCAAAACATATGTTTATATCTGTGCCTGTTATACTAGAAAAATTATTCTCCTATTTTTTTTCAGCAAGCATCCATTGAGTATCTGAGTTGGGCCCTTTCCAATCTGACATTAAATTAGCCAATACTGCCATTAATTTTTTTCTCCCTCGTATTCTGACTATAGGATCAAGATCTGTTAAGTCACAGGGAAGCTCTGTGTGAAGAGGCAGGATCTCTTCCTGCCTAAATCCACTCTAAACCAGAAGCCAGTTAGCAACCTTCCCCTGTTTCCATTTTACCAAACTTTCCTGGCATGTGAGGTTCACAAATGAGATTTGCAAAACAGCCCATGCAGAGCCAGACATCCTGGACGTAACCAGAGCACCAAGGCTCAGAAAAGCCAACTCAGAGACATGACTGTTAGTTTATTCCTGTGGGAAAAGCTCCTTCCCTAAAAGATACGCGGAATGTGCTTGCTGTCAAATCCGTCAAAACTATGCCATGTAAAGCTATAGGGGAAAAAAAAAAAAAAAAACCTCTGATAAAAACTGAAGAGACATTTGCAAAGAGGCCTGTTTTGCAGACATGGCCTACTTGTGATTCTTTTTTCCATCATCACTCAACAAGCAAGAAGTTAGAGGACCGGCGTTAGGACTCATGTGCACGATAACATTCTGTTGGTCAAAACTGCTGCTTCAGCACCTGGCTCGCTCACTGAATCATTTTCCTTTCTTGACTCATATCTCTTTGTATGATTTTCAAGGCAGTTTTCTAGTCCATGTGAATTTGTTCAATCTCTTCTCCTAGATCCATGTAAACATTTTCACATGTTCATCCAAATTCTTCCCTTCGTCCGCACCCCTACTGAGCTGTCTTTGAAGTGGAGAACTTGGCAGATCCTTCCCGGGAAAGCAGCATGCTTCCTCCTGGGGGTTTGAGTTGTGTGTTGTGTTTAACCTCCTCTTAACTGGCCTGCTTGCCAATAGTTAGTATAATTGTAAACCAGTTCCATTCCCCTCCAGCGGGTCTATCTATCCCCGCAAAGACCACCTACCTTCATTCTGCTTCACTACTTGTGGATTCTTTTTTGCTCGTGTCTGTCTAATGGAGGATGACCCCTCTAAAGAGACCAGGGAACTAGCTGATCATCAACACTCCCTATCTTCCACCTTGACGTAGGTATCTTTGGGTAAGTCGCATACTCCTTGGTAAATCCTCAATACTCCCGTACTTGAACGAGACTGATAATCTGTTCTTCCCATCCATGTTGTGCTACAGGAGGGTTAAACATTTTTTAATGTTGTCTGCATCTTGTTGATATTATTTCCTGCCTGTCATTTGGACTGGGTGACATAGAGATGCAAACGAACATTCTAAACGATAGTGTCCCTATTTGCATTTTTGCCTGATTAGTAATTCCCCAAACTGCTTAGCTGCGGCCTGTGTCATTTCTCATTTTAATTAGATGGCCAGTCCAGGGCATGAATTCTTGCGTTGCCTAAATCTTCACCATTCATCTAAGGCAAATCAGCTGTCCTGCCTTTCACTGCTTTCGTTCACTGTCTTACTTTTAAATCCTGCAGCAGGATTTGTTATTATGAAAACCGAATAGTCTGTGTTCTTTGAGGGCAACAAGTAAATCTGCAGAAAATCAGAGAACGTGGACAATATTGACACAGACTTTAAAAACCAGATGTTTAATGTTCAATTATGCATTTATTTGGCAAAATGTGCTATAATCACTCTCTCTGCATATGGAGAATTTAAAAATTTCACTGGTGCTAGCAGCCTCTCAGAAAGAGGTTGTGTTAAATCGGCTCAGCCAAAAAAAAAAAAAAAGAGAGAGAGAGAGAGAGTGACCTCGCTTTGGAATTGATTAGCCATCTGATAAGAGTTCTAAATCAAAAATTGTAGACGTTTAAGTGAATTATCTTAACTTTAGCTTCTGAATGAGGCTAAACCCAAGAAATAAGTCCCAGTGCGTATTGTCAGAGAGAATCCTTACTGTCTTTCTGTCCTCTCTGTGTTGAACACTCAGCAGAAACCAGCAATCACTGTGAGTCCATTTCTTGATTTTCTTACACCTGTTACTAAATCTCTTAGGCCTCAAAACTGGAGATTTGGATGGTATTGGCTTTAGAGTTGCTATTCTTAGTAAAAATTAATAAAATAAAATAATTATATCATGAAATGATTACAATGATAATTGAAACACCTCAAGGGCAACAAAGTAGATAAGTGCGCTATCACCACAGAACCATGCTCCTTAGGATCATTATAAGCAGAGCCCTGCCTTGGCAGTATGGCCAGGTGTGCGATGAGAAGTAGGAGAGAAGTCAACAGTTAGGTTCATGTCTAAGGGAGAGCTGGGTGGTCGAAGTGTAACATAGGCTGTAGGATATGGCCACCTTGAAGAAAGAGCTTAGAAACCATTTGTTGAACTTATTAAACACTCATCAAGGCATGCCTGGGTGGCTTAGTCGGTTAAGCATCTGCCTTTGGCTCAGGTCATGATCCCAGGGTCCTGGGATCAAGCCCCACATTGGGCTCCCTGCTCAGCGGGGAGCCAGCTTCTCCCTCTGCCTGCTGCTTCCCCTGCTTTGTGCTCTCTCTCTCTCTCTCTCAAATAAACAAATAAAATCTTAAAAGAAAACAAACACTCATCAAGAGTTTTCTCAGGGATAGAATTCTTTCAGGGAGCTTTGAAAAAATACTGAACTGGTTCCTGGGATTGCCCAGCTAGGAAAAGATGCATTCTTTGGGATCCTGTAAGCCGGGGGACCTGTAAATGGAGATTATTCTAAGTTATCCCCAAACCATCCCAGAGTGATGGATCCTAAGGTCATATCTCTCCTTTCAAATATCCCTGAAGGGTCCACTATGTGCCACACACTGTGCTAGGCAGTGAGTAAAACCCTATAAATAAAATAGGTAGTATGGCCTTTGTTTTCTTGTAGTCTTCATTGAGTGAGAAAGACAAAGGAAAAATAAAAATAAATGTATTTGTAAATGATGGTCCATGCGGTGAAGGAAATACAAAAGGCACATTGACAGAGAGTGGTGAGTGTTAGAGCAGGTGGGATAGGCTCAGAGCTGAAGTGTACGAAGAACCCAGCTTTGTGAAGGGCAACAGGGAAGGGGAGACAAATACAGAACACGAAGGGACAGTGGAAGCGGATACCCTGAGGACGAGACACGTTGGACTCTCCACAGAACCTACAAAAGGGTCTGTGGCAGGGGGAAGTTCAGGTAGTGCCTTGTGAATCCTGGTAAAGGCGTCTGAGTTTGCATGTTATGTTCAAAGGGCTGCAAATGTATTTTAAAACATGTCTGTGTGAAAGAGGTCAGTAGTAGAAGTGGGAAGACCAGAAAGAAGGGCTCACCATGAAGCGATGGTGGCTCGGACCAGGGTGGTGGCTGCAGCGGTGGCTAGAAGATGGGTTGGAAGGGCTGGTTCTGGACAGGAAGCAACGAGACTTACTGGGGGGTGGGGGGGTGGGGGAGATGAACGTGTGGAGGATGGTTCCCCACTTTCTGGTTTGACACAACATGTGAGTCATGGTCCGATTTGCTGAGATGGGGAGGAGGGAGAGAGATATAGGTGGTGTTTTGTTGGTTTTATGGGAGATTCATGGCAGTTATGATGAGTTTAGCATGTGGGCGTGTTAAGTTTGAAATGCCTGTAGGACAACCAAGTGAAATGTCCAACAGATGCTTGGATACTCAGTTTACAAGGATTTATTGACGGCCCACTCAGTGCCAAGTGCTGTTCTATTATAGAATATAAGTGATTCTGGATCTAGGGGAAGTTTGGGCTGGATATAAAATCGACTTGGAGCTGCTCTCAGAGCTGGCTTCGTTACAGAAGGTGCGTTGCCTTCCACTGTCCTCCACGAGGCTGTATCATGAGACAGACACATCACGACAAGCTGACAGTGCTCCTAAGGAAGGAATTAAATTACAGCTTCATATCCTATCCATCAAATTGTGGATGTCACCGGAGTGAGAGGAATCCATCAACAATGTTTACTAATAATCCGTGTGCAAAGAATATTACCATTTATTTATAATAGCAAAATATTGATACAATCTACATGTCTGACCCCGAAGAAAAGGTTGAATAGGATATAGTCACAGAAAGGAATGTTAAGTGGTCATTGTAAATAATGGTTTTGAAAAATATCTAATGACATGAAATAGTATTTGAAATGTCTAAGTGAAAAGTAGGCCACCAGGGCACATTGGTAGGATAACCCTAGTATTCTTTACTTTTTTTTAAAGATTTTATTTATTTGTTTGACAGAGAGAGAGATAGCAAGAGAGGGAATACAAGCAGGGGGAGTGGGAGAGGGAGAAGCAGGCTTCCCGCTGAGCTGGGAGCCCGATGTGGGACTCGATCCCAGGACCCTGGGATCATGACCTGAGCCGAAGGCAGACGCTTAACGACTGAGCCACCCAGATGCCCCAACCCTAGCATTCTTTAAAGACTGAAAGTAATCCATGCATCTAAAAAAAGACGAAGGAAATTAGTAAATATGTCAGTTATGGCTATCAGTAAATGATGAGACTTAAAGTGAGTTTCATATTTTCTCTATGCTTTTAAGTGTTTTTAAATGTTTTATAAAGAACCTCCCCCACAGTTCTAAATTAAAGGTGGTGGTAATTCCCTACAAGAAAAGGGGACCATGACAGGAGCGTTGGGGAATTAGGAGGAGCATGTACATATGACCCCTATCCCTAAGTGAAATGTATAGAATGGATCTATGAAAAACAGGGCCATTACTTTCTCTTAAGTCGCTGAAAAGATCAATACTTTTATTATTTGTAGCCAGTGTATCACATGGACAGGCTCATGGGGAAAATGTGCAGAAGAGTGGAGAGAGATTCTGAGCAAAGGCAGGCAAATGAGACAAGTAAAATTGTTCTTGTTAACAAACATTTATTGCGCACTTACTATGTGTCAGGCACTCTTAAGTATTTTACATTTAAGAATGACACTTGCAGAAGGTTAAATTTATACTGGATTAATTTGGGTTAAATACTATCACTTTCCCCTTAAATGCTCTAATATAAATTAAGAAGTTGGAAAACTTTAATTACTAAACAAATACATACATGCAAATATATGTGTGTGCATGCATGTATGTATGTTCCATCTTCATATAAAGTCAATTAAGTTAGATGAAGTTAAAATTTAATTAAAACAAAACAAAACAAAATTTAATTAAAACTTTTTGTCACTAATTCTAGCCCCAGTGATAAGGTGAAAGAATATAACGGTTGTCACCTGTCTGTTGACTTATCATTAATTAAAGCTCAGCTGGTAAAGGTGTCCTTGAAACTGATGTGGTGAGACACTGCTCCAATGTAGTTGCCATGGGTGCAGATAGTGAGGTCCCCAGAGTCACCAAATCCAGTCCATTCTTATTCCAACTTAGACACTAGCATCTGTAAAATCCAAATCCCTTTGTTAAAGCAGATCTAAAGACCTACGAAAATAACAAACGTCACTTCTCAAAATAATTGTTCCAGGATTTCAAAATGTTTCAGAGATGTCTAGAAATCCCTGAATATTCCTTATG